CAGTGGCTCTCAAGTGTGCGAGGTGAGTCAGTGTACCAGGTGTGCTCCCGCTTCGGAAGACAGGATCCCCTCCAAACATCTCTGACTGATGCACCACGAGGGGTGAGGGGGCTTCCTGCTGCCCCTGTTAGCTCTAGACACCTGCGAAGCGGAAATCTAAGCTGGGGAAATTGGGTTTTATTTATAAAATGGGATTAATAATACTAAGACTTCACAGGGTCAGAGAATTAAGTGAGATGGTTCATGAATGCTCTTCTCTTGCTAACTTTTTAAAAATGCACAGTTATACTTATCATTACTGTTTAAATATCATCATTACTAATGAAATTAGGGAATTTATTTTAACTGTGATGAAGTACTGATTGAAAATACAAAGAAAAAACTCCATGGAACCAAAGTTCTCCCAATTACTAAGGCTTCACAAGGTAGCACTGCTACCTTCCCACAGAAATATGGCCACTGTTTGCTTCTCTGGCCGACATGCACAGCTCTGACCCAGCGCCAAGTGCAGGCTGCGGTCCTGGTCTTCACCTTGGCCAGGGCTGTGGGTGGAGGGCACAGATACGAAGACACCTGGGAGCCACACAAGTGTGCAAACTTCCTCATACGACATATTCCCTGTGCAAGCTATTTCCTTACTTGAGATTTATTGCTATAAATACAGAGAATGAAAAACGTGAGACGATGCCAATTCAGCCATCAAACTGGCCTCGATCCTTTGCTAAATTTATGCATTTCTCTGGTTTGCTTAAATGCCAGAGAGCCAGGCAAACGAGAATATTATGCTCTCCTCTTTGGTAAAGAAGGCTACCTGACCACAGACAGGGGAAGGGAGAAACATTCACTGCACAGATGAGGAGGGCAGGCTTAACGTGTCTGACCAGGAAAGGTGACCAGGGCACCGTCTGACTGCAGTGTTCTCTGGAAATCTTGCACACTTCTCCACGCTGTGTTTGTGTTTCCTGTCTTTTCCAATAATGGATAAATTCGCGTGAAAAATGTCACTGAACATAGGGCATACTAGCAAGCATCTCTAAATAAAGATATAACCCAATAGAAAGGAGGAGTACAGAATCCAGGACCACGATAAACGCTACGAAAATTTGGTCACGAGCACTCCATCCTCTCCAGTCTACATCTCCCGCTCCATACTTTACCGAAACTTAAATGACAGCAACTTAGGCCATCAGGAAAAGGGCCCTGAGGTAAAACAACTACGTTCAAAACTGGACTTGTGGAAACTCATGATTTTCCCCCGAAGGCACAAATACACAGCAGCAGGGTTGTGCTATGCCTCTGTCACCCACACTGGGGCAAGGTGACAACCTCACCTGAGCCCCTCCCTCTACAATCTGGCTCTTCTGGAGACAACAAACACCTGGTGAGGAATTCGGGTGCCACAGCCCGCCTGCCCACCGGGCTCTGTGGATCCCTACGTCCACACACTGCCTGGCCACATCAGCCTCTGTCGTACGGCACCTGCACATAGCTCGAGAAGAGGTCTGAGGACCGGTACCTTTTCATAATCACAAGCTTCTAACATTATACTAAGAGAAAAAAGCCTGGGAGGAGGATGCCAAGATGTCAGTGTGAATTATTTTGGGGTGTCAGAATACGTGTGACTTCTATTTCTTGTATTTTAGAAGACTATAATACTCTCATATCATTTGCTATAATAAAAACTTAAATTATTTATTTGATTTTGATTTTCCCTGCACACTGTGATGTGAACCTTGGGTGCTGTACAGTTTTCAACCTCATGGAAATTAATATGGAAAAATAAACAAAATCACACCAAATAAATAAACAATGCCCAAACCCACTAGAGGAAAAGAAAACTGTTTAATCTTAAGTGGTTACTGATGGTTTGCAGAAAAGCAAATCTGTACCCAAGTAACAGCTTTGACTGCAGGAACAGGTGTTCTCCTCGAAGTGAAATATGCAAATCCAGCAGACAATATAACTGTCTCAGTAAGTAATCATTTCTCTCTGAAAATATCAACCTTTACTTAATATCACTGACATGTAAAAGACCACTTTTAGACAGAAAAAAAAATCTGCATTTTTTAGTTTTCGAATTTCCCTTGTTTGGCACTTCTTTGGGTTTCTTTGCCCTGGCTACTCCGACACTCCGAGAAATCCGCCCCTCTCAGGAAGGCCTGGGACCCTCTCCTCAGGTCCTCGAATCAATGAGGCTGTGACTAGGACAAGCCTCACTCAGTGCCTTTTCCTGTATGTGTAAAACCCAGTATCTCTGAATGTCCACTACTTAATCAAGAAACCAACCATGGCCGTACCTCTGAAAAGCCCCTACATCTTAGATGCCGGATATGTTTATTATAACTTGTAGATCACATCAACAATAAAGCTCAATATAACAACGGGCAGAAAGGCCAGGGCAGCCTCGTCAATACAGCAGCAACTGGAAGCCACTTACTGTGGAAGGCCCTGCATCTTGGGTCCGGAGGCCCTGCCTACCCAGCAGCCATCTTCATAATCACAAGCTTATGTGGTGAGATTGCCACAGGCCTGAGGCCTCTGTCCAAAGTCACTGGCCTCAAACTTCTTGATGCCAAAGGCCAGGTTCTAACACGTCAAGCTATTTCCCCTTGAGCTTAAAAAAAAAAAAAAATGTATTGAGAGTTTGAGTCTTTCCAAAATTAAAAAAACAAGCACAAGAAAGTCCACCAGAATAACCTTTTCCTCTTCGTGTGAACGCTTTACTGTCCTGTGAGAAGCTCACACCAGACCTGCACAGTCCACATTCTGCAAAGCCGGCTGCTCTCAGTTCACAGCAGCAAAAAGGACGAAGCAGACAGACGTGTTTGTAGCAGGGCTTTTCAGAGGCGAGATCTCACTGTGGCCCTGTGACAAGAGTTGGATCCCACTGATCACAGTGGAGATGAGAGCAGGCGGTGGCCTCTCCTCACCGAGAGGAGCCCCTGACTGTCACGCTGGGCCCAGGGTCTACAGAGAGCGCCCCCTTTCTGCGAAGTGCTTCTGCTGTTCACTGCTGATAGAGCCTCACCCTGCCCACTGGGGAGAAGCTGGGTCCACAGAGAGAGAGGAGGAAGAGAAAGGGCCCGAGTCTGCGTGTGTCTGCAGCAGGTCACCCCGGAGATGCCGTCCGGCCTCCGAGGGTCTCCTCAGAACGGCAGAGCGTGGGAGGCGCAGCAGCCGTCTGCAGTGCCACACGGGGAGGCTCCCCGGGACAGGCTTCACGTTCGTGTCAAAGATGACAGCGGCCAAGGCATGCAGCTCGGGCTACTCGCCCCACACCAGGTGTCTGAGTGCCAAATCTGTCTGCAGGGACAGAAGGGGGATTTGGGTTTAAACTTGAAAATCACTGAGAGAGAAAGAATCTGACAGAACCCGAGAGAACCTGAGAGAAGTCCAGACCGGGCCCTGCTGTTTCCTACCGAGGACCGTGGGCCTAGCGGTGTGTACGTTCACTGGAGAAAAAGCAAAGTGGTCAAAGAAAACATCCGTTCTTCCCCTATTAATAATTCACTAGCTTTTGTTTCAAAACAATTTCAGCCATATGAATTTTGGAGACCTAAATATCCCACTTCCAGCCCATCCCAGCAACAGTTCTGAGTGACCTTCTGAGTGGAGAAGGTGGATCCCAGCTGGAGATTACAGGAACGCACCACCACAGAGGCTCACTCCCCTGTCTTTATGTGCTTTTTGTTACATCTATGTAGAAGAAGTTCCTGAGATCAGAGGGTACACGGGAAAGGACGAGGCGAGTGTGCCCAGGTCATGCTGACCAGGAGGGCCATGCAGACGGGTGAGCGTCTTCAGAGCGACTTCCGAGGGCTGCTGCTGAAAGCCCAGGGAAACTCAGCCAGTCCACCAGCTGAGATCAGCCCGACCCCAGGACAGGCGGCAGGGGGCAGGGCCAGCAGCTCTTCTTGCCTTGGCTGCCACCAAACCAGGACAGCTTCTCAGAAGCTCTGCACCCAGTCTGCCAAGACCCCGTGTGTCAGCAAAAGACCAGCGCCACATGAGCACAGAGCATTGCAAGTAAGACACCTTCCCCGGGGAAGACTTACAGAAGTGGGTCCTGGGTCTAAAAAATGCCGCAAAGTGAAAAGAGCGAAAGCTCACCGTAGGGTGCATGTGGAATTTTCTGGAACTGTGGATCTACATGAAATGTGTGGCGCTGTCAAGGCTGGGCCACTGGAAGAAACACTGCTGCTGGGTCTCATCAACTGTCTTCGAAGTGGGATCCCTTCATGGCCCTGGGGGACACGGAAATGCTCCGCTCCCTGCCGCCTTCCCCTGGCCAATCTGGGTCACGCAGTGGAATATCAGACACTCGGGCTCAGGGGTCAGGACTTCCTGGGCCCAGGACTTCTGTGACTTACACCCCAGTCGTGCGCCTGGTGAGTGGATCCGGCCCCTCGTGCTATGCCTCAGGTCCCCATCTTGTCTGTAAGTGGGGAGACAGACGGTGGCCCTGAGAATTGACCGGGAGGTAGACTTGTGGTTGGCCTGAAATCCCTGCGAGCCCCACAGGAGCCCTCCATGCAGAACGCAGTGGGCCCTCAGGCCACAGCCCAGCTCAGGAGGCGAGGGCTGAGGGTAGTCACTGCAAGGCCCAGGTGCGGGGCTGACCCTGGCCATTGTACCGCCTCACTGGGTCTGTTCAGCCACAGGCAGCAGAGGACTCTCCCCACCCTCTCTGCAGCAGTACAACAGGGCCACAGGGGACTGGCACAAAGTAGCCGACAGCCCAACGGACTCCCGGAACTCAGGGTCCTCTCCTCCTGCCGTGTCTACCTGGTACCTGCAGTCATCATTCCATGTGCTCTCACACCAGGCGGAGGAGAGGAAAACAAAGGCCTGTGGCCAGGACCCATCTGCCCAGGGGCGTGCAGTGCTCCACCAATTGGAATCCCAGAACTCTGGGAGGCTGAGGCAGGAGGGTTGCAAGCTTGAGCCTAACCTTTGTAACAGAGAGACCTTGTCTCAAAATTAAACATAAAACAGGAGCCGGGCATGGTAATGCACGCCTGTAATCCTAGCACTTGGGAGGCTGAGACAGGAGGATCGCTCCAAGTTCAAGGACAGGCTGGGCTACACAGTGGGTTCCAGAGCAGTCTGAACTATGTAGTGAGACCCTGTCTCAAAAAACCAAAAAAATTTAAAAAAATAAAAATAAATAAAAATAAAAAAGGGCTGGGAATATAGCTCTGTGGGAAGACCTGCAATCAATCTGCAATACTACTTTAAAGAAAAGCAGTACACACCTGCAATCTCAGTGACTCAGAAGGCTGAGGCAGGAAGATTTCAAATTTGAGGCCAGCCTGAGCAATTAGTGAGACACTGTGTAAAAATAAAAATTTTAAAAGGGCTGTGGAAGTAGCTTACTGGTGGAGCACTTGCCTGGCATCCGCAAAGCTATGAGTTCACACACACACACACACACACACACACACACACACACTGCAGATACACATAGGAAAAACGACTCTGAGACCTGGCACATGGGGTTCAGAGTGGACCCGGTTAAAGGTCAGGACCTCGGAGACTGACAGCCCCCAGACTGTCCGCAGTGAAGGCCTGGATGCCCCAGAAGGACGGCTCTGCTTCTCTGCTGCTTTAAGCCCGCTGAACGGCAGGGACGGACTTTTGCGGTTACACAGAACCGTCACAAGCACCGAGAGACTCGGTGTTCAGGAAAACACAGCCTGGTGCCCAAGAGAGGACAACGTGAGCCAGGCTGCACCCCCAGAGGCTGCACAAGCCAGGCCAAGGCGCACGGGAGAGGGGCGGCCAGCAGGAGGCCCAGGCTGAAGAAGCAGGAGGCAGAGAGGACCACCCAGGTCAGAGGGGTGGGAGGAGGCCCTGGTGGATGGATGCAGCTCTGTGAAGGGTGTGAGCGCTCTGGCCTACGTGCTTTGGGTTTTTTAATGGTTTTGTTTTGTTTCTGAGACCCTGGCCTCAAACTCACAGCAATTCTCCTGCCTCAGCCTCCTGAGTTTCGGGATAACAGGCCTGTGTCACCATGCCCAACTGTATCCACTTGTGTGTGCTCTGATCCCACACAAGCACTAGGGTCCTGGAGGTGTGAGCTCACACTTCCTTCTGATTAGGAACATTCTCCAAGGGCCAGAGCTTCCTACCAGGAAACTCGCCTGCCGGCACCTTCACTGGGGGCTGGTGGTGAGGGCTCAGCCAGTGGCTGCCAGAGACAAGCAAGACCCACACCCCACGGGGACTGAGAACAGAAAGTGCTCAGCGCTCTACCTACAGACGTGCTGGGTCAGCAAGGACGCAAGTGTTAAAGGGAGCCGCTGCACGGTGTGACCCCACTTCACCCCCCAAACCGCGCTGTGATGCTCGGGGCCAGCTCTGGTGGTTTACACAGTCTAATGCACAAGTGTGCGGTCCACCACTCTCGATGAAGTGATTTACAGCAGCCCTGACAATAAATAAACTCAAAGTGCTGTGCACCGGCGCAAAGTTAAAGCAAAGCCTTTTCGTTTGCTCCTTGAGAGACAAAGATATGAAATATTCTCCCCATGGGTGTGTCTCGCTTTCGTTGTACACCCTGCTAATTCTACTCTTGCAAATCTAAATGTTTTGTTTTTTTCACATAAAACATAAGGGTGGAAAATAAAACCAAAAGTTCTTATGCATTAATGCCACAGCAACCAGTAACAACTGTACATCAGACTTTACACGCATTTATAACTCTGCCATTTTAAAAGTTAGTCGCGGATACCAAAAATACTTAGATGACTGTGTAATAATTTATGGCCTTTCTCCAGACCCGGTGTGCATCCTTCTTTCTTACCACCTTGCATATCAAAGTATCTAGGATAAGATCAACAGAATTATTTGCAATAAATCGCAAAAACATACCTTCTGACGAACATACTGAAACAAATACTCAAACCCCAGAGCACTCTGTTGTCAGCTCTCAAAACTCGGCATGAGACCCTGCGCCCACAGCATTTCCCAGAGTCTCACAGAACATATTCGGTCCAAGGTTACAGTCATAACACTTTTGTATCTTCTGTCCCCAAATTTCACCACCATGTTTTTCAGGCTTTTCACCTAGTTGGATTTTATTTAAAAGAATCCTGATAACGTTTATGGCCACAATCACACTGTACAGAAATAACGCTTCACCTCCCCTAAGGAATAGGAAACTGACACAGAGGCAGAACCCACGCTCGGGCGACCTTGTCCCGCCTCCTGGAGTAGCGGGGTGTCCCACCAGATGGGGTGCAGAGCAACTATCAGTCCTGACCCAATGTTGGGGGCAGGGCTGTGTGGCTCGGTTCCTCACAACAAATTAAAGAATACGTCGGAGTCTGATTTTTTACAAAATGGGGACTGTTTCACCTGGGTAATTGTTCATTAAAATTATCTTTAGGAAATGCTGCTACCCAGGTATCTTATGGAGCCATCTTCGTCCAAAGCCGCTGCGAGACCACCTGAGGGTTTCTGTTTGAGCCCGTCTGTATCCTCCCTGCCCTGCCTCTCCCAGGAGCACGCCGTGTGGACCCCAGAAGCACCCTGGTGAGGGGCATGCACGGTCCCGTGCTGCCTGACCACTCCTGGTCCCCAAGAGCACAAGGCCTGCAGTCCCGATCCGGGCCTCTCTTCGCTCCCCAGGTGATGCTGCACTGAACTCTCACTGCCTGACGTTCTTGCCTTCTCTCCCTCTTCCCCGTTCTTGCCCCTTCTTTTCTTCTGTCCGTTCCTCTTTACTTCCTCCCCTTGATTCTAGTGCAGAGACAGGAATAGAACCTAACAGCGCCTTCAGAGTCTGCTTTAAGCTTTCATCCATTCTTCGTACACTTCTTGATGTTATACTTAAAATACACAAAGACCCAAACAGCTCTGTGAGCGCGAGAAAGAGCATTTGGCTCTAAGCTCAGCAGAAACCGGGCCGGCTGATCTGTCTTCAGCCAGTCTCGTCTCAAGGTGGGGACACTACCACGAAGCTTACAGAAGCCACCAAGAGCCACCGTGCTTCACACTTGTAGGAAGGATGCAGGTCTCTTAAGCTACCGGGCTGTCTTTTCAGACACAGGACACTGTGGGCGACCCCAAAAAGCCACAGCTGAGAAAGCCTGTGAGATCTCAGTGCAGAGCTCAGCCTGTGCGACAGGATCAGCAGACTGAGGTCCAGGGCAGGTGTTTTCCCCTTCACTCTCGTTCTGTTGCAGCAACTTTGCAGATGAATGCGAGTTTGGCAGGAAGTGCACTGTCTGCAGCTGATGCCAGAGCCCCACGCCTCTCCCTGCGGGCTGAGCTCTCCTCCCTGTGCTACGCCGCGGATGAAGAGGCGCCTGGCTTTGAGGACTCTGGACAGGAAGTGAATGGTGACCAGGTTGGGAGGGACTGAAAGGCAGAATTCTTGCTCCAGTCTCTCCACGCCAGCCCTGGACTTACTAAGAGATCGGCTGAGCATCCCTCACCCACAACTCTGAAATACAGAACACGCCAAGAGCTGACCCATGCCGAGGGCTGACAGGACATCACAAGTGGGAAATCCCACCGACCTCTGAGAGGGCCACTGTGAAATGCAGACAGCTAGCACTGCAACACCGTTTCAGGCTTCATGTGTAAGGTGCATATAAAACATGAATGGATTTCACAACTAGACTGGAGACAGTAGGAAGGTACCAAAGCTATCTCATTTTGTATGTGCAAATATGCTAATTTTTAAAAAAAAATCCAAAATCTGAAAGACTTCTGGTCCCAAGGACTGTGGGATAGGAATATTCCACCTATGTGGGCAAAAAATGCACACATGGAGAACACCTCACCTCCAGGAAGCTAGGATTAGAACGAGCCTCCCCACACACATACATTTTCCCCAGAGAGGAAACAATACATTGTGCATGGTTTTTTGAGTCAAACAGGTCTGAGTTCAAATGTCACTTCTGCTATATACCAGATGTGCTCCTGTGAACAGTACCTCAACTAGCTGCAGAACAGGCAACACTCAAATGGTTACTTGTTGCTGAGGCAAAATACAGTGGACCCTGGAGTTACAACCTTCCTACCATATGAACAACTTGGGTTATGATGGAAAGTTTAGTTTTAACTTATGAACAAAGCCTTGAGTTACAACCCAAATGCCGGCCACTTGTGCTTCCAGATGGTCTCAGATATAGACTTAATCCTTAAAGAGCTCTGGAAGGGAGATGACAGCACCCTCTCGTGTGTGGGGTTCACAGAGAAATCCTGGGCCGGGGTCTCTCTAAGGACACTGAGATCGGCCTGTGTGTAGGAGAGAGGCTCTTCAGGCTGTGCAGAGAGGCCTGAGCCTGCCCTGACCAACCTGAGTTACAACCAGCCCTCGGGAAGGGACTGAGCTGGTAAGTTCAGGGTCCACTGTACCCAACACACCAAGTTAGAGGGCAGAGGTTGATTTGGCTCACAGTTTGTAGAAATTCAGTCCATAACTGGCGGCTCTGAGGCAGGGTGGATGGCACAGGGGCATCAGAGTAGAAACAGTTCATGGTAGGCGAAAGGTTGCAAAGCAATCTAGGGACCTTAGCAGCTTTTCTCAGCCCCTTTTATACTCTAGGCTAATGGAGATCAGGTTGGTGCCAAACCAATCAGTGGACTGATTTAGTAATCACCCACCCTTAATCCTAGCATTGCACTATGAATCAGTCACACACTCTAGATCCAGTCACCTCTGAAAAAGCTCCATGACCAAATGAGGCTTTAGCGGGACATCGAGACCCAAGACACAGCAGGGTGCCAGCAGTGGCTGCACGACAGAGGTGAGTAAGGACCACGTTTTCCTGCATTTCCTAAGTGACCAACAACTGGTGGGCATCACAGAGGATGCCACCCCGCAGCAGGACATCCTCCCATGCTGCACAGGCACGCAGGTCCACGGGACGCCGTCATCACTGCTCTCCAGGGGACATTTCCAACAGCTACATGTACACACAAAGCGGGTGCCCAGAGGAAATGCACAGACTAACACCCCTCACCCCGTCTGCCCTGCAGTACAGCGAGGGCGCATACTGAGCAGCCTTCATTTTGTAAATTTTCTCCTTCGTTGAAGGGAGTTTTCACTTTTCCAGGAGGGTAACAGAGGGCACAGCCAGAGAGAAGCCGTGTTGGCGAGGTTAAGCTCCTGTTCTCAGAATCCCAGGCAAGGCCGTAGCCCACTACCTCCAGCCTGCCCTGCCCCCCAGAGAGGGAGGGGCCCAGCCACTTCCTAGGGATGCTTCCTAGTAACAGAGAGTATGCGGGGTGCTGAGGTCCCTGCCTTCCAAGCGAGCCAGCAGCACACACACATGCATGCGATTTGAAATTTTAATTAGGGCGCCATGTGCTGGTGACATATGGCGACATGCTGACAGCTGGGCGTCCAGGTTCAGGAACAGACCTGGGTTCTGAAGTCACAGTTGGCAGGAGCAGAGTTCGCACGTGCGCAGCGCCAGAGCGCCTGGAAAGGGCTCTGCCAGCACCGTCCGCCCAAGGCACCGCCTTCCTGCCACTCGCGGCTCCGCCCAGGACCAGGGAAGGCCATGCTCAGCCGTTAGGGGGAGGAGAGGGCACCTCACTCCCGTGCACCCTATCCAGGCGGCCTGGACTTTGCACTCTGAGCCAGCAGCGTAGCCAGCAGGGCACGAGGGTGGAGAACTCTGCTCACCTGCTCCAGGTCCGGAGGAATCCAGCTCTTCCCTACAGCCCAATATGCCTTAAAAGTCAGGTTCACACGTGGAGAGCTGAATCGTGTTAGCCTTGTAGCAGCAATGAATAAAACACTGAAGAGAACCTGTTAAGCATTAAAGGTCAAGTTTGCTAACTTTCTTCTCCTGGAACTTTTTCTTCTGCGATGAATTAAATGGTAGCCACTGTGACCTTTGGAGCTTAGCCTGAAGATGTCTGAAAGTGGGTTAATGAGTGGCCTCTGCCTTCATTGCTGGCTTCTCCTTGCACCCCGATGACTTCCCCTGCCCAAAGCGGACATCGTCTTTCTCTGGGGTGGTTTCCAGGCAAGCCCGGGACCCCCCCGGCGGCCCTGGCGGTCAGTGACGTAAGGGTCTCTCACCGACCAATGAAATCCGCACAGGACTTGTCTGGGGACCTGGCTCCCCCCAAGCCTCCTGCCGAGGTGTAAACGTGGACTATAAGGAGCCAGAGGAGTGAACGCATGCCCGGGAAACCTGAGATCCTGCAGGTACACGGATGTGGGATCCAGAGCTTTGTTTCTCCCTGTGCCCCAAATGCTGCTATGGAGCCAACCAAGCGGATGGAAGGAACAATCACCACAGAGGCAGAAGATCAAAATTCAGCAATGTATCTAAAAAGCCACCGCGGCACTGCTTCCTGCTGTTCAGGCACACACACGCACACGCACGCACACACACACACGCACGCACTCCCTCTAATAACGTTTTGAACCACGTGACATACAGGAAATTTCACTTTGTCCTCTTGCATGGGCACTGTCAGGACTATACAGAGAAACAGATCTGCATCACATTCTATTTCAAGTTAGTTTGGGATAGCAATGGAACAAGCAGAAGATTAACACCTGCTGTTCCCAGCTTCAGCCCACACTGCCACAGCTGGAGAATCCAGGTCCAACACCTGGTTGTGAGCCCATGAACGAGGCATCTCCACACTGTCCTTACACACAGAGCAGAAGCACCCCGCAGCAGGAGCTCTTTGGAGTAAAACAACAGTAGCCACAGCATCACCCTCCAAATGCGCCCTCACGAAGAACTGTGCCAAACGCATCTATCGGCAGCAGAGAAAGCCAGGCAGATACATTCTCAATTCCAAGAACATTCCAGTTACCTCGAGTCAGCCTTTAATTGGGTGAGGGGAGATGCTGTCCCCTGGTATAAGGACTCAGCCGTCATCCGGATGCCACTAAGCAGGTCAGAGCTGTACCACAGGACACACAGGTTTGGCCACATGAAAATGCTCCATAAAAACCCTCACACTCCCTACTCAAATCACTCCCAATAACGGGCACCAAGCACTGGCCCCTGCTCCAGGTCTGCGGCACCCCAGTTAGCTCCTGGGTGTTCCTCCACACCCTCCACACGCGGGGCACCGACACGCAGAGCAGACGGCCACTCCAGGCTACTCATTTGCCTCTCGCAAGAAAGCAAGGCTTAGAGTGCACGCTGTACGCTTAAAACACCGTGCAGACCACAGGCCCGGACCCGTCCACATGTGAAGGCATAAGGTAAAGTCTCACAGAAAGTATCAAGACTCTGTTACAGAAATTCAACTACTCTGCAAGAAACACCAGGCTTATCTATACAGAAAGTTTTTCTGACACCACAGCTGGGTTAATGCGAGCTGAAATAGAATTTGTAGTATATTACAATATTATAGTATTTCTAGTATAATATTATCAAGCGTCACTTCCAGAGAGTCTAAAACTGTAAGAGGGTATAAGAATCCATAAATATAATGCAAAAGCAAATTTTTCAAATTATATTTTAAATGTCAACCTTTAGGGACACAATGTAAACAAAAATAGAAAAAAAAAAGGATAGCATATAAAGTGCGTAAGAAAGGCCAAGAGACCAATACTGTGAATCGGAAAAATTACTGACTAGACATTGAAATACAAAGGATTACAGAAATTAAGGTTAGGGAGAAAGACGTCCACTCCCTGGGCTGCACTTCCCATACACGTGTGTGTGCACGTCAGACTGAACTCAGGGTGTCACACACAAGCTCTCTACAACCAAGATACAGCCCCAGTCCTGTTTCAGATCATAGTAGGAGACACAGTCTCATTAAGCTGCCCAGGCTGGACTTGAATCTGTGGTCCTCCTGCGTCAGCCTTCTGAGTGGCTGGACTTACAGGGGCGCAGTACCACACCTGGAGAGCTGGTCATCTTGTGTGGCTAAGGTGACATTCCTGGCAAGGGAGCACGTTCATGACGGCTGAGAGCGTGTCACCGGAAGTTTGACAGAGGAGTCTCAGCTGAGCCACATTCACATTTCACACAGCGCAGCTGCACAGAGGCTGACGCATGCGACTTCCGTTAAAAAGACGACGGGGAGGAGGGTGCGCAGGTGCAGGTCCCTGTCCCTCGCCGCAGGACAGTGGGCGCGTTTCCCTCCAGTGCCCAGACTTCACCTCATCCTTGCCTACCTTCACTCTGTGAAAACTGATTAAGGTGAGCTGTGTGGGAGTTCTGTTGTTTTTTAACTCTAGAACTACAGTTAAAACCTAACGTTGATGTGAACAGGGGAAGGAGCGATGTCTACGCTGCAGAAAGCTGCACGAGACACAGAGAGGATCTGCAGCCTTTAGAAAAGCAGTTCCCTGAGACCTCAGGCGGCCCGGTGGCGGTGACTCCTCTCCTTCCCAGGATGCAGGCAGGAGAACGTGGAACGCTGGACAGCGCCTGTTCTCCGCCACTGACCTCCGGCCTTGGGTGCGCTCCTGCAGTTTGCTCCTTACCCCACTGCACAGGGCAGGGGCCTCACCGCACACTTGTGCCTGGGGTGGAAGGAGGCTTCCCCTGGGGACCGAGTTCACAAGGCTGGGGAGGATCTGAACCTGCATCTCTGCTGGCACAAAACTGTATTGTTAATGAAATTAATTAATTATTGAATCAATCTTGTTACACTTAACCACCGCATTATACTAATGCTATTCTTCTCTGCACAGGCACTTCCCCCATTTTAATTACATTCATCAGGTTAATCAGCTAATTGGGTCAAAAAGTTAAGTTGATTCTGGATGTATGTAGAAAAACTCCTGAATTTTTTTTAAATGTAAGCATAAGGAGACAAATTCTTAAGAATCTGCATTAAAATTATCAGTGAGACACTTGCATTTGGTTATTTCTAGTAAAGGCAATAAGTACATAATGGAGAGATTTTTAAAGGGCAAAGTGTTCATTTTTTTTAAAGATGCATTAAACATTAGAATTTATTCCTAGGATCCAATGGGTTTGTAGCTTTTTTAGTAAATATATCTGTGTATCATCTTGGCAGAAGCCAAATATAACTAATTATAGATGATCCTATATCTTTTTT